TAAAAATTAACCTTTTGAACCTTTTTCGTCGGTTTGTTTGTTTGACTAAATTTAAAAAAATATTCGTTGATGATGGGTTCGTTTTTTTTTAAAAAAAAGATTTTCATTCATATTTTAAATCCGTTAAAAATTTTTTTTTTTTAACCCGCCATTTTATTATTTGAAAATTATTTTCTATTCAGTAAATTTAAATAATTTTTTTTTATACAAAACGTGACGTCATTTTATCTTATATGAATGACTTTAATTATTTTTTAAAAAATTATTCCCTTAATCAGTTTATATTTTGGGGGGAAAAAAAATAAAACCAATTAAATAAAGAATTTTTATTGATAACACTTTTTTTAAACTGTTTAAAATGGCGTCAATTGTTTAAAAAAAAAATTTTTTTTATTAATATTTGCTTTGGGTTTATGTGTTAACTTTTTTTAGGTATTTTCTGTGGTATTTAATATTTATTAAAAATGGCGCAACAACAGGAACCTTTAGACAATTTAACGGCCGTCCTTTATAAAATAAACGATTTGAGATTAGTAAGTTTTATTAATTATTTTTAATTTTATTAGTTTTGACCCCCCCAAAAAAAAAAAAACTTATTAATTTTTTTTATGTAGGAACAACGTCCGATCCCTACACCCAAAGATGACGAATTACTTTTAGAAATGGCTTGTGTCGGAATATGTGGCTCTGATGTTAGTTATCTGACAAAAGGTCGCATCGGAGATTTTGTTGTAAAAGAACCCATGATATGTGGTCACGAAGCAAGTGGGATCGTTAAAGAAATTGGAAAAAACGTTAAAAACTTTAAAAAAGGTATTGTCGATAATAATAATTATTATAAGGGAAAAAAAAATTCACGATTTTTAAATTTCAGGAGATAGAGTAGCCATAGAACCTGGCGTACCTTGCAGAAAGTGTTCCTTTTGCAAAGAAGGTGATTATCATTTATGTTCGGACATTCTTTTTTGTGCGACTCCACCCGTTCACGGTAATCTCACACGATTCTATTGCCACGCTTCTGATTTTTGTTACAAGTAAGTCAACATTATTAATTATGTAAATTTTAGTAAATAAAAACTTTTTTTTGGAAAATTTTATTTAGATTACCGGATAATGTTACATTAGAAGAAGGAGCTCTTCTCGAACCACTTTCTGTTGGTGTTCATGCTTGTAGAAAAGCTTGCGTAAATTTCGGTTCGAAAGTTTTAATCAATGGTGCTGGACCTATTGGAATAGTAACCTTGATTGTGGCTAAAGCTTTCGGAGCAACCAAAGTTGTTATGACAGGTACAATTTTTTTTTTTGGGGGGGAAGTCGATGTGATTGAAAAAACCTGATGGTTTAAACCTAATTTTTTTTTTATTAGACATACAACAAAGTCGATTAGATCTTGCTAAAGAGTTTGGTGCTGACGGTGTCGTTTTAATCGATACGAATTCAAATGTCATGGATACTACTAAAAAAATTATAGATTTGATGGGAGATTGTCCAGATAAAGCAGTAGATTGCTCCGGTGCTGAATTTTCAGTTCTACTATCAATCCACGTGAGTGTTTTAAATGATATTTTAATACTTTTACCTTTAAAAAATTGTATTTAATTGTTAAAAACTTCATTTTAGGCCATTAAACAAAAAGGAATTATTGTTTTGGTTGGAATGGGTCCTTACGACATGAAATTACCAATGGTTCAAGTTGTTATTAAAGAAATACAAATTTTAGGAAGTTTTCG